GGGTCTTGATTACATTGCGAGGAAGTCTCAGACGGGAGCGCCTTTCCTGAGTAAATTGCGCGGAAGTCTCAGGCGGGAGCGGGGGTCCTGAGTAAAAATCGAGGAAGTCTCAGGCGGGAGCCGTTGTTGTTGTAGCCCGGGGGGCAGGGGCACAGTTTGAGCAGGAAGACTTTCCTTCAGAAAAAACAAGGTGCGAGCCCCGGGGGTGGCACTTCAATCGAAAAAAATCAATGTGCACCGGTGGGGGGGGATCAACAATAATTATTCTTCAAGAATGAGAGTCCAACCACAACAACAATAATAATAACAACAACAACAACAACAACAACAACAACAACAACAACAACAACAACAACAACAACACAGCAGTAGCAGCAGCAGCAACAACAACAACCCGCCCAATGTTTCTAGAACGTGCGCCAAGTCTGCTCTCTCACGAGGCACGCGAGGCCTGCGGTGGCGAGCCCGGAGGTGCCAGCGGGAGTTTGTGAGTTGATGGTTTCGGTTGGCGCGTGAGATGGGCACAGCGAGAACGGCACTTTCCCGCACACCGCTCCCCCAGGCATAGCAGCAATCGCAGCGTTGTCAATGGCGAGGGGATTTGGCCGAAGACAGCATCGCTCTCATGTAACAGCGTGAGTAGGCACCGAACGAAAGAAAGCGTTCGGAGAATGCGTGAAACATCCTCCTTGTGAGGAGCGCTGCGTTTCCCCTTTCTTCCTGGCCGTCGCAGGGACGAACATTTAGTTCCCAACCATCCTGTGGTGGTGGGTCTCCGTTTTGAATCAGCACCGCCCCGCGTCTCCCACTTCCTCCTCCCCATCTTGCCTCCTCCCTCATCCCATCCCTGCCTCTGCTCTCCGCATGTCCACCACGCCACACCCCTCACACGTTTCGTGGTCCCACAGGGAGCTCCACCTCAGGCCCCAGTGGCGTCCTCGCAGGTGCCCCCCCGCCCAGTATGGGGTCCCCTCCGCCCACTACGACACACGCCTCACACCGTTCCATGGCCCCGTAGGGAGTTCCACCTAAGGCCCCAATGGCCGTCCTCGCATGCGGCTCCCCGCCCATTACGGCACACGCCTCGCACGCTTCGTGGCCCCATAGGGAGCTCCACCTATGGCCGCCATTGCCGTCCTCGCGTGCGACTCCCCCCCGCCCATGTCGGCACACCCCTCACACGTCTCGTGGCCCCATAGGAAGTTGCACCAAAGGCCCCAGGGCCGTATTCGCATGCGGCTGCCCGCACATCAATGCACACGACTCACACGTTTTGTGGCCCCAACGGGAGCTCCACCCAAGGCCCCAGTGGCCGTCCTCGCATGCGGCTCCCCGCCCATGTCGGCACACCCCTCACACGTTTCGTGGCCCCATGGGAAGCTCCACCTAAGGCCCCAGTGCCTGTTTTTGCATGCGTCTCCCCGCCCATGACGGCACACACCTTACATGTTTCGTGGCCCCATAGGGAGCTTCACCTAGGGCCCCAGTGGCAGTCCTCGCATGCGGTTCCCCGCCCATCTCAACACACCCCTCACACGCTTCGTGGCCCAATAGAGAGCTCCACCTAAAACCCCAGCGCTCGTTCTCGCATGCGGCTCCCCGCCCATTACGGCACACCCCTCACACGCTGGGTGGCAGCATAGGGAGCTACACCCAAGGCCCCAGTGGCAGCCCTCGGATGCGGCTTCGCGCCGGTGTCGGCACACCCCTCACACGCTGGGTGGCCGCATAGGGAGCTACACCCAAGGCCGCAGTGGCAGTCCTCGAATGCTGCTCCGCGCCGGTGTCGGCCTCATGGCCCCATAATTGAGGGCTCCACCTAAGGCACCAGTGGCGCCCTCGCATGCGGCTCCCCGCCCATCATTGCACGCCCCTCACATGTTTCGTGGTCCCATAGGGAGCTCCACCCAAGGCCCCAGTGGCCGTCCTCGCATGCGGCTCCCCGCCCATGTCAGCATAGCCCTGACACGTTTCGTGGCCCCAAGGAGAACCCCACCTAAAGCCCTAGTGGACGTCCTCGCGTGCGGCTCCACGCCCACTACGGCACACCTCTTACATGTTTCGTGGCCCCATAGAAAGTTCCACCCAAGGCCCCAGTGGCAGTCCTCGGATGCGGTTCCCCGCCCATATCAGCACACCCCTCACACGCTTCGTGGCCCAATAGGGAGCTCCACCTAAAACCCCAGCGCCCGTTCTCGCATGCGGCTCACCTCCCATTACGGCACACCCCTCACACGCTGGCCGTCCTCAACACACCCCTCACACGATGGCCTCAGTGGCCTTCCTCACATGCGGCTCCCCGCCCATGTCGGCACACCCCTCACACGTTCCGTCGCCCCACAAGGAGCTCTACATAAGACCCCACAGGCCGTCCTTGCATGCGGCCCCCCGCCAATTACGATACGCCCCTCACACGTTCCGTGTCCCCCTAATTAGAGGCTCCATTTGAGGCCCCAGTGCAGAACTCGCATGCGGCTCCCCGGCCATTATGGCACACCCCTCACACGTTGCATGGCCCCATAGGGAGCTTCACCTATGGCCCCAGTGGCCGTCCTCGCATGCGGCTCCCCGCCCATTACGGTACAGCCCTCACACGTTTCGTGGCCCCATATGGAGCTCCACTTGAATCCCCAGTGCCCGTCCTCGCATGCGGCTCCCCGCCGATTTGGCACATCCCTCACAGGTATCGTGGCACCAAAGGAAGTTACACCAAAAACGATTCTCAGAACTGCGGTACCCGCAACTGCATATGGTGGGGCCCTTCGCCAAGACAATTGTTTCTGATGCAGGCTGACTATGCCGCAGCTTTTCGAATCTGAAGACCATCTCAAGCGTTATCGAGTCAGGCTGACTTCCTCATCATCCTCGCCGCAGTCCCTCTCTCTCTCTCTCTCTCTCCCTGTGCCTCTCACAGGCACACACACACACACACCACGCACGCACGCACGCACGCACGCACGCACGCACGCACGCACGCACACACACACACACACACACACACACACACACACACACACACACACACTTTTGGAACGTTCTCTGGTGGGCGCAGCGCCACGCCGTCAGACGCGCGCGCGCGGAGGCCGTGCGCGAGCCGGTCCGTCGGCCCTCCACGGTCGGCGGAAGCAGCAGCCGGGCCGGCAGCAGCCCCGGCGGCGGGCAGGGAGTCCGCAGGATATGCGGGCCAGAGCTGAGCAGCCTCAGAGCGACCAGGGGCCAGCAAGACAAAGGCAAGGGGGGGGGGGGGCAAGCGAGGAGAGGGAGAAGCGAGGAGCGAGGAGCGACGGCGGACAGCCGAGGCAGCAGACGGGCGCGAGGGGCACGGGCCGACCGGCGGAGGAGGGGAGGCCGAGGGGAAGAGGGGAGGCACCACACAGCACAAGGGCAAGGCAAGACGCGAAGAGGGGAAGGAGCCAGCCGAGGAGGCGAGCGAGAAGGCAGAAGGAGGCACAGCACGAAGGCCTTTGGGGAGAAAGGTGGGGACCACAAAGCGGCCGGAGGCCCGCCCGGTGGGCAGCGCACTGAGCAGGCCACGCCGCGGGAGGGGGGAGCGGCGGGGAGAGGAGGGAGCGACGACGACAGGAGCAGAACGAGGAGGACGGGGGAGGGAAAGCAAGCGGATCCCCCCCCGGCAAAGGGGAAAAGGAAGGAGCGGCCGAAGTTGCAACCGCTCTGCTGGGGGGGGGGGGGGGGGGCGGATTGCCCCCCGCCACGGGGAGAAGAGCGGTAGCATCTCTGAGCCGCCTTGCTGGGCGAGCGAGACAGGCAGCAATCATTCAGGAGGAAAAGAACCACACAGACACAATTAATCCTCGATTTCCCAGAAAATATGGGAAAATATGGGAAGTGGGGGGAAGACAAAAACCCAGAAAATATGGGAAAATATGGGGGATCCTTTTATTTGTGTGTATTTATTTGTGTGTCCCAGTTCCCCTTCAATCATATGTATCGCACCCGCCGGGCGGCGCGCGACAGTGCAGGGATACCGCCTTGCCTGACGGCGCAGCAATTTGTAGCCCGCCTAGCCGGCGGGGGAGACAGAAGGATGACGTTCTCAAGCCCAGCTGGGCGGCGCGCGGCAGAATTTGAATCCCGCCCTCCCCTGCGGCGCAGCAGAATGAGGCCGAGCCTCCGGAGGAGGAGCGGCGGGCCAAGGAGGGGACGACAATGACAAGGAGAAGGACGAGGAGGGTGGGAGGCGAGAAATTTCCCGCGACATCCAACATCCTGCGGCAGTGTAACGCCCTCCCAGGCGGCCATCGGAAAGGTGGCGGAGCCTCCGGAGCGGAGACCCAGGGGTCGAAGCAGGGCGGCATGGGCATCACCCCGCCAGCACCCTAGGAGGAGGGGACACGGCGGGGGGAGGAGGGAACGACACGACCGACAAGGAGAAGGACGAGGAGGATGGAGGGGGCGACTAGACATGCACGCTGTACAAAGCAGCATGCAGATCAAGAACGCTGCACAAACCGACCTGCAATAGGCAAACTCATGCAATGAACCGAGGCCTGAGCAAGTATGCAGGAAAGTATGGGCATATACACATGTACACAGATACCTTAAGGTTGTGATTAAGTCGGCTACGAATGAAGATATAGTTCTTACGCCAACGAAGTGAAACTCAAATGCAGACACGACAAGATGTTTGGCCAAGCCTGGGGCGGCGCACTAGTCCATCCAGAGCAGCCACTTACGCCACCAGAGGCCCCCGAGAAGGTCTATAAGCAGCACGTGCGAGATGCGAATCCTATTGGTACATCAGATACGAGAAAACCTGCAGCACCAACGAATCGGCAGGCTGTAGGTTTCAGAAGCCAGAGTAGCGCCCATCATCAACAAATCATTCACGTTGTACCCTCTTCTTCCAGAGATCGGGGAGGCACTCACCCCGTGAACCCTCACCGTGACAACGGGTGGCAAGATTTACGACAAAAGGACATGATCAACGGCCCGGCTGGAACGTGAACAGGACGGGATCGCCCCACAGACATCAATTGCACCTCACACTGCAGGAGCCGGGTGGCCGCGAGCAACGTGACGACGCTGAGGAGATTCAGGCCGATGCGGCCCCCCATTTGGGGGCGCGCCATGTTCAGGAGCGAGCCCGCGAGGTTGGAGATTTCCATGGAGACCCTCAGCGCCGACTCCATGCCGGGCAGCACCCTCGTGGACGCGCCCTCGATCGCCCTGCCGATGGTCACGACGCACGCCTCGTTCGGGTGGCAGTCGCCGCTGGTGGCGTTGATGCTGAGGCGAAGCGTGTTGGCGTTCAACAGCCCGAGGAAGGGGTATAGCGCCCTCTCAAAGTCCTCTGGCACCGTACGCCTGAGCACCTGGATGGCCTCCAGGCTGTCCTGGCGGAGACCACGGAGGCGGAAGCCTGACTCGTGGAAGTACCTCACGGAGATGAAGCGCAGCTGCGCGTCGGAGGCAGAGGCACGGCATTTGACGAATTGGGTGGTCTTCTGCACCGTTTGGTTCAGAAGCTCCTAGACGTTCACGTCCACCCTCTTCGCCCCGTTGCGGAAGTCCTGCAAAGCGCAGTAGCCCGCCACGCACGAGCCTTCGACGCCATACCCGCTGAAGCAACACTTCCCCTCCTCCGCCCCCGCCTCCAGCCAGACGTCCGCTTCCACCACCACGACTCCGACCTCCACCTCCAGCGCGAAGCCGAACGCCCCCGCCTCCACCCCCAGGAGCTCCCCCGTCACCGCGCCCACTGCCTCTCCGACCTCCACGTCCTCCGCCACGTCGTCCAGGTCCATGCCGAACTTGCACATGTCCTGGGCCTTTAGGTCCTCCAGCCCCGCCACGAAGTGCGTGCCGCCAGAGGCCTCTAACAATCTCGAGCAGGCTGACGTCCTCAACCACGTCCAGGCCCAGGCCACCCGGCCCCATCGCGGCCGAGGAAGAATCGAATCGAAAAGCGCGTCTGCTTCCCACCAACCGTGCTGGCACGGAACAAAAGTAGCAGAGAAGGTGAGTTTGAAACGCAGACCCCGCGCCGAGGTTTTGGTGTTGGTTGCCTCGCACGCGGGGCCTTGGGCTGAGGGTGGGGGGGGATCCCGATATGGCCTTGAGCCAGGCTTGAGCCAAATTGCTACGGACCCGCACACACGTGTGTATGTATGGACGGATATATGTACGTACGTACGTATGTATGTATATATGTATGTGTATGTAAGTAAGTGTGTGCATGTATGTATGTATGTATGTATGTATGTATGTATGTATGTATGTATGTATGTATGTATGTGTGTAGGTATGTATGGATGTATGTATGTATGAACTGATGTATGGATGTATGTACGTGTGTATGTATGTACGCAGGTATGTATGTGTGGATGATCGTATGTGTGTATGCATGTATGTATGCGTGTGCATGTATGTGTACATGTATGTGTGTCAGTATGTATACATGTATGTGCATGCATGTGTGTATGTGTGTATGTATGTGTGCATGGGTATACACGTATGTGTGTACCTCGGTATACGTGAATGTATGTATGTTTGCATGTATGTGTATATGTGTATGTGTATTGACATATGCATATATGTATGTGTGTGCTGTTGTGTGAACGTGCGTATGTATGTATGTATGTATGGATGCGTGGATTGGTGGATGCATGTATGTATGTATGCATGCATGTGTGCATGTATGCGTGGATGTGTGCATAGTTATGCATGTATGAATGTATGTATGTATGTGTGTATGTAATGTGTGTATGTTCGTTTCTCTATAATGAGTGATGTATGTATGTGTGTGTATGCATGTGTGGTGGTATGTTTGTGTGTAGGTGTGTGCGTACGCATGTTTATGTGTATGTATGTATGCGTAGTCATGTATGTAGATGCATGCGCGAATGTGAGTGTGTATGTATGTGAGTATGCATGTGCATGTGTGTGCGTAGGTAGGTATGCGTGTATGTCCTGATGCTGTGTATGTATGCATGTGAATGTGTGTATGCATGTATGTGTATGTGTGTATGCAGGTCTGGGTGTGCGCTTGTGTATGTGAATGTACGTTTGAATGTATGTGTGCATATATATATGTATGTATGTGTGCATGTGTGAATGGGTGGATGCATGCATGTATGTGTATGCTGGTTTCCATGTATGTGTATGTATGTGGAGCCATGCATGTATGGAATGATGGATGTCTATATTATATATGTATACATATATACATATGTATATGTATGTATGGTGATATGTATGTGTGTATGTATGTATGCATGTATGTATGGTTGTATGTAAATGTGCATGTATGTAAGTATGTGTATGTGTACGTATGTACGTATGAATGTATACTCCCCAATCAGAGCTTGCCTATGTAGGGGTCCTAGCGGATTCATGAGGGATTCATATGGTTAGGTGAGGTGCGGTGCAGATTTCGGCGGCACGCCCGGGTGCCGGGGCGCCGGGTGCCCGGGTGCCCAGGTGCCGGGGTGAGGTGCGCCGCCGATTTCCGTTGGTGCCCGGGTGCCCAGGTGTTTTGGTGCCCGGGTGCCCAGTAGCCCTATCGCCCTATAGTTTTATAGCTTTGTAGCCCTGTAGCCTTAGCCCTATAGCCCTATAGCCTTATAGCCCTAATAGCCCTATCCTTCTAGCCCTATAGCCCTATAGCCTTATCCAGCCCTATAGCCTTATCGCGCCTTGGAACTCAGACCGCTAGAGCACGGATGCGGGTATATGTTCGCCGAACGTGAGGCAACATCGCAAACAATCACAACTGGAGCCCCAGACCCCATCTTTATGCATCATTCTCCGAGCCAGATCGATCTGTGAGGGTCCTGGGCTCGAAACGGGGCGAACACGCCCGATGTGAAAAGACTGCAACGCCAGAAGCTCAGAGCACGCGGCGTCGCAGACCAACGCCGACGTCCTCACGACTGGGACCTACCGTCCCCCCCCTGCCGCCAGGCGCTCCTGGCCGCCACTGCGCAGCGCCCCACCAGGTTCCAAGCAATGCCAAGGGGGGTCACCACCAGGGGGGTTGCCAACCCCTCGAGGAGAAGGATCCCCCACCAGCCCAGGGGAGTCCAAAACTCGTCCCCAAGAACTCGAAGATGGGATCGACCACAAGTTCGAGTTACCCCAACATTGATTTTTCGCCGAATCTACTGAACACAACGTATAATGTTCGTACATCTACGAACATGATGCGTTTTTCCGTCGGTTCGGCGGAAATGTTAATGTTGGGGTAAATAAATTCTGTAGCCGATCCCCTACTCGGAGAACCCGCCTGATTATCGAACCTCGATCTTCAGAAGGGGCTGGCGACCACCCCTTGTGATGTAACTCCAGGGAGGTTCAGCTCGACATCGGCGCTGGTATATCCACAGCCGGGAAAACTGCCTGATCCGGCACAGGCCCGCCAAATTCCGCTCAATCCCACTTGATGGGGCTGAATCATGGGCGCAGTCTGGGCGAATCGGTTTTTATTGCCCCATGCCTCGGCCCTTTTTATTATCCCTTCTGGGAAGGCCTCCCAGGAGCTGCCTCCTGCCGCGCCGTTGGCGAGCCCCTCCCTCCCAGACATCCGGCGTCTCGATGTCTGTTCGAGACGCGGGCCCCCGACCTCTCGACCACGTCCCCGGGCCCAGCTTCCACCCCGTGGTTTTTCTTGGACGGCCCTGGGGTCCCGGAGCCGGCCTCCCGAGGCCGAGAGCGGACCTCGGAGCTGCGGCCCCGAGGCCTGCGAGCTGCCGGGTGCTTGGGCTTGGCACTGCCTGCAGGTTTGGGGAGAGGCCGGCCAAAGGCCCCGGACTCGCGCGCGGCCTGGTGCAGGCACCGAGGGGGGCCGGGCCGCCCCGCGTGGAGCGCCGCCTCCGCCGCCGCCCTCCGCGCACGCCGCCGGCGGCCGCGGGGCCGCGCCGAGGCCCACCGCTCGAGCGCCACACCGAGGGCCCCTCTAAAGGCCACACCCCGAGGGCCGCCCATCGGGCCGCCGCCGGCCGCCGCGGACCGCTGGAAAGCCGCCGGAAGTCCGCCAGAAGGCCGCCGAGGGCCGCCGCAGGCCGCCGCGGGCCGCCGCGGGGCCGCCGAGGGCCGATGAGGGCCGCCGAACGGCCCGCGGAAGGCTTTGTGGGCTCGCGCACGGCCCCGGTGCCGAGGCGGCGAAGGACCGGCTGAGCCAGCTGGGGGGCCTCTCGATGCCGCAGGTGGTCCTGGAGCTGCCCCTCGAGGAGCAGGCCGCCGGGGCTCAGCCGCGCACAGCCGGCCAGAGATGGCTCCTCCTCCCTCGCTTCCTCCATCCATCCTTCCCCATCCCCCTTGCTTCCACTCCTCTTCCCCCCCCGCGCGCGCGCGCGCTGGAGAGAGAGCGCACGGGTGAGGAGGAGGAGGAGGAGGAGGAGGAGGAGAAGGAGGAGGAGGAGGAGGAGGAGCGTCAATTGCAAGCCTGGGCGGTTCGCGAAAGCTCCAGCATGTTGGATGCTGCCAGGGGGGCTCGGCTCAGCAGGTGTTGCCGCCCTGGCGACGCTCCTGACCCGAACGGAGGTTGGGACTGTCCACTCTGCCGCCCGTGGGACGCGCGCCAGCTGTCTGCTAGACATACGCCCACTCCAGCAGGGGCTCCCCTCAGTAGCCAGGCAGCCCCGCTAGCAAGCAATGCCTGAGGACTGCCCAGACCTCCCGCCCAGGCCGAACCCCAAACACGCGAGCACGGTCGGAAAAAAAGCAGGGGACGGGCGGGCTAGCCTCCGCGGGCCGCACCCGCTCGCCTACTCTCTGCGTCATTTCGAGCTCAACGCACCTTCAACCCCGGGCCAACGCCAAGCACCTCAAGTCAGTTGAACCCTACTAAGACTGCAAGCAACGGTCCTCCCTCCCAGCGCTCCCTAGGCGTTCCTCACTGTCGAGGTCGCGGAACAGCTGGTCCAAAACGTTTGGCGGGGGGGAGGCGGGGGGGAGGGGGAGGGGGAGGAGAGGGAGGCCCCGAGAGGGCGAGAGGGGCGGGACTACACACGTGTGCACGCATGTTGCTGCTAGCTCTACTGGTCTGCATCCCTCATTCCTGCATCAGACTCTTCTGGATCGGATTCGTTGCTATGCTCGGTGACGCTGAGACTCCTGAGATCGCAGCTGCCTGTGAGTTTGACCATTGTATCATTATGCTGCTTCAGGTACTCAGTATGATGCGACTGGTTCCCCAACTAGAGTTGTTTCTCCCTTTCGTCTTCAGGATCCTCGAACTTTCTGCCACGAAGCACTGCGTACTGGGGGGTGTCACTTCTCTGGAGGCGACCTGTCGATCTCGAGAAGTCACCAATGAGAGCTAATTGCTGCTGCCGAATCCTATTCGCCGCCATGGCGTGGGACAGCTTAGCTCCCTTTAGGTGTGCGTCTGCCTCAGGGCCACGGCCGACGACAACTGGGCGGGATACAGCATTGCCCCCAGCCGCTGGAGCAGAGGTATGATAGCTCGGCACGGCGGGCTGTAGCAGTGCCGAGGGCAAGTGGTGGCCTTACTTGAGGAAGAGGCTAAGGTATTATCACTTCGATGGTCATGACAGCTCCCTCGAGTAGGCATGCTCGTAAAGAAGACAACAAGACAACACACAACACAATACCATGCCGCAATACACGTGCGTGCTCTGTTGCTGCTGCTAATGTGTTCCCCTCTCTGTGTATCTAACTCCCAGACCCGCATGCTCCTGTAAATTACCGTGGTAACGAGTCTGCCTTCTGCTTGCGTACGAATTCGATTGTTTGGACAAGTAACTTAACACGCTCGGGCCCACCACCGAATGATTTATTTGTACCGGTTGGTTAACGTCGGGGGGGGACCTCGTGATAGTACTTGTGCATCTCGGCATCGCTCGAACGTGTGCACTTCCCGCGTCGAGGGCCAACGAGGAGCATCTAGGATCATCGTGCGGAAAATACACGCACGAAACCGTAAAATGCACGGGAATCGACGTCCGAGCGATGGCGAGGCATGTGCCATCAAGTGCGTTGGAAATTGCGACGTTGCTTCTCGACCGATCCCTCGAGCTCATGCCGATCTTGGGTATCCCTGGGACTTGCTATATCTTGGGTATCGATCTTGGGTATCTCTGGACCCACAGGCTTGATCCCCCCCAAAGCTTCGCGAGGGCGAAATGGAAAGCTTTCTGAAAGTTGCTCGTGTCGATCTTGGGAACATCTGGGACTTGCTGTGCCGGCGATGTTGCCAATTGGCTTGGCATCGCTCGGACGTGTGTATTTTTTCTTGGGCGAGGACCATCGAGTAGTATCCTGGATCATATTGCGAGGCAGTACACGCACGAAGCCGAAAAATGCACGGGGAATGGACGTCCTAGCGACTGCAAGTTGGATGGTCGTGCGCAGGTCGGTCTTCAGATTCAGGATGCGCTAGACTTTGATTTCGCGATCTGCGTCCGCTGTCCCGTCTTGCTTGTGAGTCTCTGTCGAGCGGAAGACGCGACAGAACTCGTTTGTGATGTCTTGTCCGTGCTCTGTGGACAGCAGCTGTATCAACTCTCCGAGGACTTGCTGTTGATTCGCATGCGTCCTGGTCGGTTCCCAAGGACTCGTGCAGCCCGAGCGTAAATGTTGCTGCTACGTGGCTGTGTGGTGGTCTCTGTGAGGAGGAGGAGGAGGAGGAGCAGCAGCAGCAGCAGCAGCAGGAGCGAGGGAAGGTGAAGGAGGATATATAGGAAGAGGACGACAGCGAGGAGGCGAACAGGAGGACGAACAGGAGAATGAGCGAGTGAGGGGGAGGAGGAGGAGGAAGAGACGGAGAAGGAGGAGGGGGAGGACCAGCACCCATAGCTCATTCTAAGCAGGCCTGCGCTTCGGGACGTGGTCGGTTCAGATCCCTCGTCGACGTCGTTCACCGACGTTGATCGTCATTGCCGCCGCTATATTCTGTCCTCCCTAGTGCTGTTTAATGTGCCTCTCCGGAAACATCACAGCCGAGCGCCCCAAGAGTTGTCAAAGAAAGAGGAGGGGGCCAATACGCAATACGCACAGGGCGCAATCCATGCTGGGCTCCGCGTCACTGCGCGGCGCTCCGCCGTCATCCGCACCATCAGCCTGACCAAGAGCCGCGCCCCCTCCCCCCTGTGATGAGAAGCAGGGTCACACCACGACACGAAAGTGATGTGGACGTGAACGGATATGGCGGTGATGTTATTTCTGTTGTGTCTGTGCCGCAGCCCACGCAATCACGCACCCCAACGCTGTGCACCCCTGAGTCGCGAGCGCTCCTGACCTGACGCCGGCCCCGCCTCTCCTGCCCCGCTCTCTCTCTCTCTCTCTCTCTCTCGACAGACCCCCTCGGACCATGAAGAACACATTTTTACGCCGCAGCGCGGCAGAGGCAGTCCGCACGCGCGCTCGGGCAAGCTGGGCGACTGACCGCGAATTGCCCGGATGCAAGAGGGAAAGGAGGGGGAAGAGAGGAGCGGCCGCGGGAGGAGGGGAAAGGAACGCCATGCAGAAAACATGACGGGAGGCGTGCCACTCGTTTCGGCGCCTTTGGGGGCCCTCGC